CGCATTCATATGAAAAAACCATCTATGCTTTCTGAACATCAGTAATGAAATTATTACATTAATACATTAAATATTCTAAATAAGATACAGAATCTGCTTTATTGTTAACCGGTTACTACCACCAACAACAACTTTTATAGGTAGAAGAGTAAACTCATGATGCTAACCAGGTCAGATCCTAAAAGGTGGCTTCTTTACCACATCTCTAGCTTCAAAATATAAACAAAACATCTTATTTGATATCAAATGCACCAAAACTCACAAAACATGAACCTAAAGGCACGAGACTGATCATTTTTCACCACTATAATCCAAGCTGTCTTGTCAGAGTACATTTTTTCAAAATTACATTCTTTTAAAATAATGGAAAATTTTTCTCAATTAATAAACAGTATACTCATAATTTATTAAGTTAATACAAGGAGATGATGCCTGAAATGCCACAGCCTATATGTAATAGCCTGTAAGATACTTTTATATTAAGAAATAGAAACATTTGAAAATATTAACAACCCTATTAGCATACAAGACTATATTCTTACACAGAAATTGCTTTTTAAAATCAGAACGTTCTGTTAACAGTAAACAACTTCCAGATTTTTAAGCTGTTTTGTTTATAACTCACATACTTTCTTATGAACAATGCAACTGATCTCTAACGAGCAACAGAAATAGTGTCACTTTGATTATCTACATTTATTTCTCAAGCTGTAAACCTGGTCTTCAACTGCCATAAAGACTGATAAATATTTATCACAGAGCAATAAATACAAACACATGTAATCCGTAGTCTGTAGTCACTTCATAAAACACTTTTTCTCATCTGGCTGAAATAACTCTTGTCTCTTCCATACTTGGTCAACTACTTGGTGTTTAGGTAATATTAACAGGGATGATAGGAAAAAATATTTAATCCTGGGGAAATTATATCAATTATTATAAGATGCAAATTATTCTAATTAGTGATGCTTGGGAAATACAAGAAAGTTTACTAGGAATTTGCGGAAGAGGATTTTGAACTCCTGGTCACAGGAGTAAGATTCTTCCTTAAAAAAAGAAAGTAAAAATCAAAAGGAAATGCAGATTGCCACCATGGTTGTAAACATCATTTCAAGTAAGATCCTATTAAGTCAGCCCATTGGGAACAAAGACCCTTGCAAGGACAACATGTTAAATAGATGAGGTTCCTCATAAAGTCTTACAAGTAAACCTCCAATGTTAACTTGACCAAAATTGTTTAAGGACCTGGGAGCTAGAAAGTCCAATTCCCCCATTTTAATAAAAGGAAATTCACACTCAAAGGATGATATTTATTTGTTTATCTTCTCAGAACCAAGTTAGTTAACAGTGAAGCATCAGTCTTGGCTCCCTGATTGCTGTGTCCTCACCTGTCAACATTTTTAATCAGTCCCAAAGTTTACTGTGAATTGTGTCACTTGCTGTCTTCTCTTGGCTTTCTTCCACCTGCCCTGTGCCCCTCTGATCTCAGTCTACTGCCTTGCCTCAAGTTTAAAAACTCATGACAAAGAAAGGCCTGATGACCCATCTAACCCCTCATGGAGCTGCACTCATCAATTGGGCCAACAACTTTTAAACTGAAGCAACAACAACAAGAACAAAATGCCTTTAAATTTATTTAAGCCACTTTCTGTAAATGTCCAAGGAAATTCTTTATCAGTAAAGACCTTTGTGTCTCAAGTCCCAGAAAATCCTAAATCACACATGCTGCAATCCTTGGTGGGCAGGACCCAAGCTTCTCATCTCACCTCGATCTCTCCTTCATTTTGATCCACTGTTAGCAATACCAGCTTCACCTTGAGGGCTTTTTATTATTGATGTAGAAGGGATGGAGATTTCCTGGTTTACACATGATGGGGTTTCCCATGGGCTTAGGAGTAAGAAAATTTCCCAGAAGCCTCTAGAAATGTCTCCTTATATCCTGATGGCCAAATTTCAGTCCTGTCCTAAAGCAACCATCACCAAGGGACACGAGAGTATCTAGTTCAACTAGCCTATCTCTGGACCCAAGGGTAGGCTGGATTTTTCTGGCACAAGGGTCTATGCAACAGGAATGGATACTGAACAAAATGTGGGCTCTGAGCAGGCAGCCATCAATGTTCACAGCACTTTTAGCTACAAAATTTCCACACACAATATTTCTTTACCACTTAGGTCTTTTCAAAATTGCCCAGTAGTGCTCACTTCGGCAGCACGTATACTAAAATTGGAACAAAATTGTCCAGCACAACCTCATGGTTCCATCCCTTCCTGAAAGGAAAGAGGACCCTAAGTCTCATCTGGCCCCAGGATTTCCAGATAAGAGCCAGTATCTTTGGAGACCCAAATTGCTTGGAGAACTCCACCTAAATTATGAAATATTTACTCCTCACATTGGCATACTAATCACAGTGGGGAAAACAAGCCAACACAGCCAGAGTAACATGCCAGAAAAGGGGCACATGACGAATAACCCAAAGTAATCACTGGCTCCTAGCATGCTCATAGCTGTGTTCCTAGACAAGGAAAGTGTAGCTATCCACGTCTGGGATGAGAACACGTTACCGCACAGCCCATATTTCTGCTTTCTGAAAGGGGTACTCCCTCATCCATTTTCATCCATGGTCATATTAATGAAAGTGTGTTGGAGGATGCCTTTTAAGGGAGCCATATAGTTATCAGCTCATTCTTCAGAAAACTGCAGAGCTTGGGAATTTGTGTTATGGGTTGAACAGTCACAATCTGTTGTGAGGACAAGTGTTTGGAGCAAGATTTCTGAAAAAAAAAAAAAAAATCTCGGGAGTCTTCCAGCATATGTGACTGTAGTCAAATCTAAGGGATTGTAATACAACCAGTGAGCTCCTTAGACTCATTCTTGGAATCTATAAACACTAGTGTCCAATAGGCATAAGGTTCTATAACTGTCCATTCAACCATTTGCAATTTAATGGCCTCTGCCATAAGGCAATAAAAAAAAAAATCCCATACTGAATTCATAGCACATAACTGTCTTTCCCTTTGAGGGTGCAGACCATGCTTAATGGAAGGCCCCTAAGGAAAACATAGTGATTAGGTTTGTCTTCTGCTAAATTCCCCACCCATTAAATACCCAAACTCATGACCACCATAAGACCTGAGTTCAATTGTTCAAACCCTGACAGATTCATACTACCATGCCATCCTCAACTTAAAGAGTTCAGTCCAGGTCGGTGCTGCAGCTCAATAGGCTAATCCTCTACCTGCGGCACTGGCACCCCGGGTTCTAGTCCAGGTCAGGGCACCAGATTCTGTCCTGGTTGCCTCTCTTCCAGGCCAGCTCTCTGCTGTGGCCCCGGAAGGCAGTGGAGGATGGCCCAAGTGCTTGGGCCCTGCACCCGCATGGGAGACCAGGAGGAAGCACCTGGCTCCTGCCTTCAGATCAGCGAAGCACACCAGCTGTAGCGGCCACTTTGGGGGTAGGGGGGAGTGAACCAACAGAAAAGGAAGACCTTTCTCTCTGTCTCTCTCTCACTGCTAAATCTGCCTGTCAAAAAAAAAAAAAAAAAAAAAAGGAGTTCAGTGCATATACAGAAAGACCTTTCACGGTCAAGCTGCACTGCTTTCTCTCAGTTTTCAAGTGAGTTAGTCTAAGTTCCTTTAGTGTACCTTGCAAACAGCCAACACAATCTGGTATTATTAACTTTTCTCACCAGTTTTCTCTAAGGTTGCATCATCTATGACACATGGCCAATTTCCAAAAGAACAATAAAAGTTTTTTTCATTGTTTTGTGAAACCAACAGCCAGGGTGACCTACATCCCAGCCTGGAGAGGTAAGATTTCACTGACCTATTCCCCTGCTCCTGCACCTATTCCAACACATTTACAATCGTATCCTGGCAATGCTGCAATCCATATGCTGAAGGCTATACCACAATGAATGTATTTTGCTGCAAAGAATGCTATTTTTGAAAGATTTATTTGTTTTAAAGGCAGTGTTACAGAGAGAGAAGGAGAGTCAAAGGCAGAGATCTTCCATTTGCTGGTTCACTCCCCAGATGGCCACAACAGCCAGGGCTGGGCCAGAATGAACTGAAGAGCCAGGAGCTTCTTCCAGGTCCCCGTAGGGGTAGCAGGGACCTAAGCACTTGGGCCATCTTCTGCTGCTTTCTTTTTCTTCTGCTGCTTTTTCCAAGCCAACAGCAGGGAGCTGGATCAGAAATGGAGCAGCTGGGACACAAACCGGTGCCCATATGGGATGCCACCATTGCAGGCAGCGGCTTCATCCGCTATGCTACAATGTTGGTCCCAAAGATTATTCTTTATGCAAATAAGATTATACAAGACAGACTTCTCTTGGCTCACAAAACAGAACTCAGACATAGAATACATTCGAGGGTTTTCTCATTCTGTCGTTTGACTATGCCACCAAGTTCCTGTGCTCTACTTCTCTGCTTTGCCACATTTAGTGTCGGCTCCACTGATGGGTGGCAATATGTCTAGAAAGCTTTGTGAAAACACAGAAAATACAAAACAGAGGAGACAACAGTATACAGAGAAAGCAGACAGACCTTCATGTTTTCCTAAGATCAAGGACAACTTTCCATAAGCCTCCAGCAGAATTCTCTTTATGTCCTATTGACTAGGATTAGTTTCAATGCCCATTCCTAAACTAATTACCAGTATGGGAAATAGCATTATTATAATTAGATTAGACTAACAATTTAGGGTAGAATGGATGGAGGAAGCAAACCACCATGACCACAACAAATACTCTGCTCATTGTTCAAGTAATTTTAGATCTAATGAACATATGGAAGACTATTTTGTAGCACGGACCCTTGAATGATAGGGTTACCTACTAAGTAAACATGAAATGTCTCCACTCTAAGACTTGCCGACAGCATCTTCCAAGCATTCCCAAGCAGTGTTAATCAGGATGACACAATAAACAATGGTCAGAATTCTCTTTATATCCTATTGACCAGGATTGGTTTCCATGTGTATTCTCAAAGTAATTGTTTATTGCCATCTCTCAAGACTAAATATTCTCATTATAGGAATCAATCCTGTGGCAGGTTCCAAGGACACATGGGACTTTGAGAAAAAAAAAAAAAAGTAGACTTCACTTAATTCCCAGCTCTGGCTGTTACCAACAGTTTGATCTAAAGCAGGCTGCCTCGACTCGCTGAAGGTAAGTTTCCTTACCAGCCAAACAAGAATACTAGTACTATCTCAGCTCGCAGGCTATGGAGTTTCAAGTAAAGTCATGTATCTAGCATCTGCCCCAAGCCTTGTACACTTTGGATAATCAACTTATGTTTTCTTTTCCTTTCCTACACACAATTTATCCTCATGTATTCCCTCAATTTAAATCAACTGCTGTCACCCAGCATAAATACTCACACAGATTAGGTATTCCAGTAAGACAGTAGATTATCCTGCATGTACGGTGGTGGGTCCTTATTGTTTCAAAATCCATTAATAATGTTGTTCCCTAAAGCATCTTATTGAAGTATACCTTTGTTATGGGGTCGGCACTGTGGCATAGTAGGCTAAGCCACCACCTGCATCGCCTGCATCCCACGAGTTTGAGTATGACTGCTCCACTTCTGATCCAGCTCCCTGCTATGGCCTGGGAAAACAGTGGAAGATGCCCCAAGTGCTTGGGTCCCTGCACCCACATGGGAGACCCAGCAGCTCCTGGATCCTGGCTTCAGATTAGCCCAGCTCCAGCTGTTGTGGCCATTTGGGGATTGAACCAGCAGATGCAAGAACTCTTTCTCTCTGCCTCTCCCTCTCTCTGTTGCTGTGGATTCGTTCTGAGAGGAGCAGAGTCACCACACAGACCCCAGGAGTTGGGTGAAAGCAGGCCAGAGGCAAGCATCCCGTAGACTCATTTATTGTAGTTGGTACAGCAGCTTAAATAGCCAAGGCAGCCAATCCGGTCAAGGGGTGGTTTATGTCCTAACCAATCACAGCCTGTTGCCAGGCAGTATCCGAAGCCATCCAATCACAGCCTGTTGCCAAGCAGGCTCCATTGCCAGGTGGGTTTCAAAGGCATTCCTGAGTAACTGATGTTCACTTGCCAGTGGCCATCTTGGCACGGCCTTCTCATTCCACCACATTTCCCCCTTTTCGTTTATTTTTGAGCAATGGGAGGCATGATTCTTGGCCATACCATTGTTGACCCCGTTTCCATGTGGTCTCCATATGTGGCTGTGCCTGTCTTAGGTTGTCCCTCAGGGGGTCTTACCCGTCATTAACTAACCAGCACTCAAGACGCGAGACCACAGGAGTGCTTGCTTGTGGGGAGCAACTCGGACTAGACTAAGTTACTCGAATTAAGACTTATTCTATGCATCTGCTCTCCCACAATATGGCGCTGGGAGAGGAGTAAACAGCTTTTACACAGCTGCCACCAGTTCGACCAGTAACCTGCAGGAGCTGATCCTGCTCCTGATTGGAGGAGAGCAGCGTACTCGGCGTGTGGGTAGCAGAGTTGGGATTGATGGAAGAGGACTATAAAGGAGGAGAGAGACAACATGCACCAGGAACATCTATCTGGAGGAACACCTGAGCAGCCCCCGAGAGAGCCGGCCGGTGGTGTGCCGCTCCCCCGCGGAAGTGGGGAAAGTGGCAGGGGAACTGCCCTTCCACGGAGGTGGAAGGGTCGGCAGCCAACCCGGGAAGAACCAGCAGCAAACCCGGGGAGGGCCGAGCAGACAAAAGAACAGCGCAGAGTCCTGTGTCGTTCCTCCGCGAAGAGGGGGAGCGACACTTGCTCAGATAGGGGTAGGAATGAGGAACAATGGTAATCAGGAATGGCATGACCGCACACAGGCTGTGGGCCATTTAAGTGGCTGACCAGAGCTAGTGGGGTACAAAACAGTAATGGATGTGGCTATGGGCAGTTCCTCAGGGTAGAATGATAGGGCAGGTGTGTCTGCTAACAAGGCAGACTCTCAGTCTTGTTCAGCTAGTTCTGATTGACTGTCAGTTGCAGGCTTGATGTTTCTGGCTGGTGCCCAAATGGGCTGTCCCGCATTCTCTGGAAAGACACAAGCATATCCTTGGTTCTTGGTTAACAGGAGCCTTTTTACAGGCTTTGGAATCCAGGGCCCAAATTTAGTGTCCACTTTGAGATTAACAACAAACATGCAGGTGGGATGGGGCCTAGCAACTGCCCTGAGAGCCTGGGGTGCCTGGGGACTGCCACAAATGTGGGGATCCTCACTGGGTGCGGATGCGATGACCTCACATGGGTTATTGCCTCAAGGTCGTCTAAGTTCATCCCACGGGTATTTGGGGGGTGGCTGACTAGGCATTGCAGCATTGTCGGCTGTCATTTCATTTTCACTGTCAGAGCTCTCTCTCCCTAAGTCATCAACTGTTGCCTGTGAGGCAGAGACCTGGAGTGACAGGCTCTTATCACTCACAGATTCACCATGTTTGGTAATCTATGTGGATTTCTGAGAGGGGGGTATCTTTCCCATGTTTGAGCACTTAAGAGCGGCGTGACATGCCAGCTCTAGCCAAAGGAAAGGCACGCACAGCACTGCTGCCATAACAAAACAAATTCCTAGCACCTCAGCGGCTGATGGCATTCGGCAGGGGTTCCCTACGTTAGACGAACAGACAGTGGTGTATCCGATTGTAAATACGTCCTGAGCTTAGTGGGGGACTTCCTTGATTCATTAGGTCAAGGCCGTATGCCCACACGGTGTCTCTGGAGCATCACCTCTCTCAAGTGAGGGAAGATGACTTGGTTCTGAATTCTGGGATGATCAGTCCCTTATGTGAATTTGCCAGGCGAACCGAAAGTAAAAGGAGAAGCCAAGAAGCAGCGTATGCTTCTGGGCGGTGTGTGCCTAACCTGGGGTCCCTTAGACCAAGGACAAGGACAAGGACAAGGAAAGGGGCATAGGAGGGGGTTCTGCGCTCACCCTCACGAAACCAAACAGCACACAAAACACCAAGGGGCCTACTTGCCGAAATCAAGGGGGGACCTCACCGAGTCCGACACACTGTCTCTCTCTCAGTCACGCTGGCGTCAGATGTTGAGGTTGATTTGTTCTGAGAGGAGGAACGCGGTGGGGGCAAGAGGTACACAGTCACCACACAGACCCCGGGAGTCAGGTGAAAGCAGGCCAGAGGCGAGCAGCCCGCAGACTTGTTTATATTTCAGTTGGTACAACAGCTTAAATAGCCAAGGCAGCCAATCCAGTCAAGGGGTGGTTTATGCCCTAACCAATCACAGCCTGTTGCCAGGCAGGCTCCATTGCCAGGTGGGTTTTTTTTGTTGTTGTTTGTTGTTTATTTTTGTTTTTTGACAGGCAGAGTGGACAGTGAGAGAGGTCTTCCTTTGCCGTTGGTTCACCCTCCAATGGCTGCTGCGGCCCGCGCGCTGTGGCCTGCGCACCGCGCTGATCCGAAGGCAGGAGCCAGGAGCCAGGTGCTTTTCCTGGTCTCCCATGGGGTGCAGGGCCCAAGCACTTGGGCCATCCTCCACTGCACTCCCTGGCCACAGCAGAGAGCTGGCCTGGAAGAGGGGCAACCAGGACAGAATCCGGCACCCCGACCGGGACTAGAACCTGGTGTGCCGGCGCCGCAAGGCGGAGGATTAGCCTATTGAGCCGTGGGGCCAGCCAACCAGGTGGGTTTTAAAGCCATTCCTGAGTAACTGACGTTCACTTGCCAACGGCCATCTTGGCATGGCCTCATTCCACCACATCTGTCTATAACGCTACCTCTCAAATAAATAAATCTTTTTTAAAAAATTATATATATATGCATGTGTACACACACATATATTTCCACAGATATTCAAAAGCATACAGATTTTCATAATAATCTCATCAGTCATACAAGAGGAAAGTTAAAAAATATATAACATTCCTAATTTACACAGTAAAATTATTAAAATTATACAATTTCCCAGTTTTGAAAAAATAATCATTACTAAAGAATAAACCCACATTATCATTTCATTTAATTAATATCAATGCCTGATTACTAAAGCAACTCAGGAAAGAAAAAGAAAAATTGAATCTCTAGAAGCTTCCCTACAGACACGAATTTCAACTGACTTCCAAACATTCTTCATTGTTTCTATAAAATGTTATAAATGGGTTGCACAAACAACACACAAATATTTTAATTTACTGAGCAACGTGTAACATAAATGCTCCTAAACTCTTTCACTCACACCTATTTAATACCTATTTTGTTGTGGTTTTCACTTAGTATTTTTCTGATATCCTGTTTATCTGACAAGTATTACATTTATTAAATAAGTGGCTTCATTATGACCTAAGCAATAGGAAGACATGAGTAATATGAGTATTACTCTGAAACAGCAGAAATATTGTCTGGGAAATACTTCTTTGCTGCTTCTCAGTGGCAGATACCCTAGGAGATAAACTTCAAATGTATATGCAATGTTCTTTTGTTTAATTATTATTCTGCTTTAAAAGGAAAACAGTAATTGCAGCAGTTTGTCTCCTACAATAGTCTGTGTTCGGAATTTTATTTGGTTTCTCTTGTTTCATCAATGCTTAGGGTGAGTTAAGTTTTTACACCCAAAGTTACACCTCTGCATATAATTTTTATTTTCTTTCTGAAAAAAAAATTTCCCCAGGTTCTCATAATTGTTACAAATATTTTATAATCAATTCAAAACCTCCCATGGAGGACACATATCCATTTATTAGTCCCATAGAATTGTTTAAATGATTTCCCCATGCTGGTTGGACCTTTTTCTTTTTCTTTTTCTTTTTTTTTTTTACGATTTATTTATTTATTTGAAAGGTAGTTACAGAGAGCCAGAGAGAAAGAGAGAGAGAGAGAGGTCTTACATCCCCTGGTTCTCTCCCCAATTGGCAGCAACGGCTGGAGCTGCACCAATCCGAAGCCAGGAGCTTCTTCCAGGTCTCTCACGCAGGTGCAGGGACCCAAGGACTTGGACCATCTTCTACTGTTTTCCCAGGCCATAGCAGAGAGCTGGATCAGAATTGGAGCAGCAGGGACTCGAAATGGCACCCATATGGGATGCCTACACTGCAGGCAGTGGCTTTACCCACTATGCCTCAATGCCGGCCCCAAGCTGGACCACTTTTGTACATATAATTTTCTACACTTTTGATACTTAAATGGGATAGACTGCCAAAAGCGCTGGCCTTACCTTCTTTGTTATAATATGCTAATTGTGGCACAACAAGTGTAGTAGTGTTACCACAAACAGAAAGAGATGCCCAGTACTTTTGTTTGTGGCTCCTGCATGCCCCGCCCCCCATTTCAAGGTTAATTGAAAATTAGGAGAGTAACAGGGATTGCAATGTGTGAATCACTTGAATCACACATTCTATGTCCCATGGAGGTTTGGAAAATCAGGCAAGAATGAAGTCTTCAGGTGTGAAGTCCTATAGGAAATACACAGCGCAAAGTAGCAGCAGCCATGACAATGCGAATCAGACGGCAACTACAAAAGGACACACATTATTTGAATCATGAACTCCACTTCTGAGAGGAGAGGATTTCTCTGTTCAGGAAGGAAGGCACATGAGCACCTCATGTGTGTGGCAGCATTGGTGGACTACGGGACAATTCAGAGCAGTGGAAACAAAGGAGACACTTCAATATCCTGGCATGGACAGTCCTGCAGGATGTCAAACTCCATGTGTCTGCACATTCACAGAAACACATTGTATTACAGGTGTAGACGGATCCACGGAGAGATCCACTACAACGTCAGCGTTTTCTCCATCCCTTCGCCACTCACTCAGTGTCTGCTGGCCCTTGCGAAAAGCGGCAGGTCACTACCAAACATGTCCACACCATCAAGTTATGGTAGTAGGGTCCCCATTCAGTTTCTCAGCAGCCCTCTCTCATCTCCCTGTGAATACAACTCTCTTTCCTAGCCTCAGCCTGCTTTTTTATTTCTCTTGCGAGTACCTGTTGGGAATCCACTGTGTGCCAAGTACAATGACGGGAGGGGATTAAGGTCTGGTCCCTGCTCTCATAAGGGTCTTCTTATCTGGAAGATAAATCATGCTCATTTGTCTGATTTATAGAGCGGTCACTTTCTTTGGAGAGTTTATAGAGTGAATGTTTATGTCCCACTTCCCCAAATACATATATATATATATATATATGGTGAAAATATAATCCTAAAAAGTTGGAGTTTCTCTCACCCCAAGATATCTGGAAGAGGAATCTGTGGGAGATAATTGGGCCTCATGAGTGCAGCTCTCATGGGTGCAATGAGTGGCAGTCAGCTAATTTCTGCCACCCATGTGTGTTTGTCAGGACGCTGGAAGCAGGCCCTCACCAGAACCAACTATGCCAGCACCATTGCCTTGGACTCTAGCTTCTAGAACTGTGAGAAATGAATTTCTGTCGTTTACAAGCCATACAGTCTATGGGAATCTGTTCTGATATCCTGACAGAAGGAAGACAGGGGGTTGGGCTGGAGTCTGTTGGTTGATGCACTTGTTATTTTTCAACAAAAATAAATGTTCAAAATGGTACCCTGCTTGGCTGAATTAGATATTGGAGAAGTCTTTGTCTCAGGACATGATGCTATACAATTGGTGCTGATTAAATAATTTTAGTTCCAACTTTCTAACAACAATAAGGGCAAGAACAGAGTGTGCTCCTGGTGTTCCTAAGTATTCCTGGAAGGTAGAGCAGAGCAGTATCTACGGAACTCAGAGGATGCTACAAAGAGAGGATGTGGCCCCAACACCAAGGGAAGCAATGGGTTCAGCAATGTTACTCAGTCCGTACAGGAAGCTTGCTGACAGAGTCTGCCAGGCAAGAGCTAAGGGATCATTTCAATGCTCTAATTTTACTAAAGAAATAATGAAAAAAAAAGAAAGTTATTTTTGCAGAAAAGATGAAAATCACGTATATTTCAGTAGAAGAAAGCTCCCCTCTGAGACTGCCTTGATTTCTACTTTTTAAGGTAATCATCTGAAGAGGCTCTCATACTCAGTCAATGAGAATCTTCTTTTGTTTTTAATTTCAGAATGGCAGCAAAGATTAAAACAAGCTATCAAATAATTTTTACTTTCTCATCGAGGATTATTCAGCGATTCGCAGAGCAACACGGTCAAGATCAGGCTTGCTTTCCTCAAGTGTCGCCCTCATGCTACCTGACTTATCCCTTATAAAATACCCTAGGCCAATTACACGTAAGTGCCATGCGGTTTGCCTTCTGTTCTGCTCATATGTTTTCAATTAGTCATGGTACAGTAAAAGCATGCACACAGTCTCCAGGCAAATTTCTAGGGGATTTTCTGTTCCTAAAACTTGAACTTCATTATGATATTTCTGGATTATGGCCCAATCGATACATTTACAGTGTTCTGTTTAGACAAAAGACATTTAATTTGCATTTCAATAAACCACACTAGGGTAAGTATTATAACAAGGCACATACAAAAAAGTGGGACACTTTCTTGAATCTTTCTCAAGCCTAACTGCTGCTTAGCAATTAAAAAAAAAAAACTCTAGATATTTTATTTTTCTGTCAACCTTCAAAGATTCAAAGCAACCCATTCAACGTAAAGTGAGCGCCAACAATGTGTACAGTGCCACTGTGGGCATCCTGAAATAAATGTTAATACACAAAACATAAGAAAAGTACCTGAGCAGCCGTATAAAGAGAAATAAATGGCTCAGTAGACACAAGCACCTACACAGCTTGGTAATATTCAGGGGACATGGGATGGACAGCAGTGAAATAATTCCTCCACCAGGACTGAGGGATGGATGAAGAGACAGGGATTTGATGACAGAATGGAGAGGAGACTCTTCTTTACATAGCAAAAGCAGGAATCGTAGGGCTGGCGCTAACTGTTGCATTGGAAATCATTAAGGCAGCGTCAAGGCTGGGAAGCGCTGATAACCCAGATGAGCACTCCAGGCTGGGGTGGGATCTGGCCTGTGGGCCCTGACAAAGAGGAGCTGAATTCATGCCGGAGTGGTCTGTACGAACGTGGGCAAAGCCGTCACTGCAGTCCCTAAGTAACCCACATTGCGCTATCTTACAGTCAGGGTAACAAGAAGGAACAGATGGTCTGAGGCAGAGAGCAGGCATGGTGCAGTAGGGCTGTTAAGTAGATCAGCATTAGGGTGTACAGTGCATGATAGAGACAGTAACCCCGCTTCAAAACCATATTCACTCACTTAAATAGACACACTGTGATTTTTTAAAATATCTAAACCTAAACATATATGCATAATACACAAGACAAACAATGCCTCATATAGTATGGCAGCTGTTACTACTAAAAGCTTAGCTATCAGTTGGGCACAGGATTCTTCTCAGTGTCTGACCCTACTGGCAGCATTAGCGTGGGCAAATCACAAAACACTTGGAGCCTTGGTTTCCTTGCCTGTGAAACGGCGATACTCCCCTAACAGGCCCACTGCAAGTATAACGCCAGCTGACCTCGGAGTTCAGTTCATAGCAGTTCATCACAGGGACCCAGGAGACCCTCAGTAAAGAATAAGTCGTCATCGTCTGCCCAACTTTTCAAAACAGGCATAATCTATGCCGGATTGTATTTACTTTTATAGACATTTCCCTCCAAAGGAAGGCCTCACAAATATAACCTGAAGACCATCACTGGAATTGGCATTTTTCCAATTCAAATGTATTTACTAAGTAAGACATAACCAATTAATATGCACCAGGGCATTAAACTCTTTCACAGGTCCTTACCAAATTCTATGATTTAAAAGACCCTAATTTAAGATCTTCCGGTCCTCATCATAATAATAATAAAAGGCAAAAAGAAATAAAGATAACATAAGTACAGATTAATATCTTACATAGATTTCAAGGCTTCCAATTTCATCTCTGCAGATACGCAACATCAGGACCACCATAAAACTCAGCAAAAGCACAGTTCACACTCCCAAACTCCTCCACAGCAACCGGGATATGAGAAAAGCAGGGATCCCCTTGGAAGGAGCAAAACCACAGAAAATGGAGAAACCTGAGGACTCCCAGCAGTGGGTCCGGCACAGGAAGGGCACCACCGTGCTGTGACATCAGCTCATTTAGTATTCCCAGAGGGAAAACGCTCACGAGGCAAATGTAGGACGTACAAGCATTTCTACCCAGACCACACCACAGTCTGGGAGGTGGTGGCTGCCTATTCACTGGAAGTATCAGCCATGAGCATCAAGATGTTCGAGCAGGCACTGCCCCATTCCCACAGGCACACAGACTCTGAATCAGCAAGACAGCCAAAGGCGCAAGTCCTGCCAAAATATGAGGATCCCCTCTGTTGCCAGTACCACACAGGTTGAATCAAACACAATGGTTACAATTCCATACTGATATTGTGCCTGACAGCCAACATCAAAGATCAAAATAACATGATCTAGGATAATTTATCGAGAGTACGTGTTTAGTTAATGAGAAGCAATGAGTTGGAGACTAGCAGTAATCACAGAGGAATGAATGCTCTTAGGAGTGGGAAAGAAAATTGCGTGGGAATACAGAACACACAGGGCCTCCCCAGCGAAAGTAGCCAAGGAAAATAGTGGGTTTTGGAACCCTTTTAAAAGATACAATAGCTTTACCTCATCAAAGCTGAATACGTTGATTTCTATCTTTCTTCTTCTCAATTTTCTTAAAAAGCATGTAGCTTTAAAACTATTGAATATTAAAGTAAACAGTAGAGGGATTTTTACTGATGGCAATTACATGTTCCAAAATTTCTCCTATAATAATCCAACTTTACTCTATCAGGAATTCCCAACCAAAATGCCTGGGAAGCAGAAGAGGATGGCTCAAGTACTTGAGTTCTTGCCACCCACGTGGGAAACATAAATGGAGCTGGTGGCTCCTGGCTTCAGCCTGGCCCAGCCCTGGCTGTTGTGGTCATTTGGGTAGAGAACCAGTAAATGGAAGATATCACTGTGTCTGTCTGTCTGTCTGTCTCTCTCCCTTCCTCCCTCTCTTTCTCTCTCTGTCACTCTGCTTTCCAAGTAAGTAAAATACAAAATGAGGTTCTAAAAGCCAAAAACATCTTTATTTTTAAAATGTCAAATTAAAAAGTGAGTTCAAACACAGAAGACTAGACTTTCAAACACAAGTCTACAATGCAAGTTCCATCAAAGATAAATGTCAAGCTAGCTTGCAGACACACAAACCAGATGTCTATCTGCAACCTTGTGCATATACCTTCAAAGGGGTCTGTTTTAATTATTCTCAATGTCTCCCTGAAGATGTCCAGGCAGAGCTATGCTAGAAACCTCTTGGCAACTGCTGATTTTAGTAGAAGATTCCTCTATTTTGGAAGCACCGATTTGTATAACACATAATGCAGAAAAGTTGGGATTGAAGCTGTTATGGGCAATAAGAACAAAAGAATTAAATACACTGCACCTTGGATCCCCATATTATGAAATGAATCAAGTAACTATAATTAAACAAAAAGCATTGCTCAATAGATTTGTTCCATTTGGCTTCCGCTGAGTAACTGACAGTGAAAGGTAATCCCTCTGACAGACACAGGTCTGATCATGATATTCCTCCTGTTAAACTTTCAAAGGTTTCCCTTGACTTTAGAAAGACAATTTTATTGTGGTTTTCAGAACCAACTTCAGTCTGGCAATCTTGTAGTGTGGAACTGACGTTTGCCAAACACATTTGAGAACAAGAACTCTTCTCAACTTTGGAGTTACTCAAAGACAGCACCTCCCAGATGAACTTTCAGTCTTCACCAGTTGAATAATACCTGATGGTACTTACGATGTGAGGAGTGCCTTTAAATCTCTCTCTTGATTATAATTCCACATATTCGAAAGCAATTCATAATCTACAGAAAATTCTGAGAGCAGGCTAGATTTGAGAACTGGTAATGGCTTTGCAGTTCATGCTTTAGGAAGCAACCTACAGTGAACAAAAAGTAAGGAAATAAGAATTTCCTGTACAAGGACACTTCAAAGGTCCAAGGATAAATGGAAATAAAAGATAGGCTTACTTTGGTGCAAAAAGTTTCTGAAATATCTGCAGAGATTTTTTTTCATAATACATATGTTCCATTGACTTTTTGAAGACCTCTCCTATTTTTATTGCAATGCTATTGCCCAAGCATGTGCTCTACAGACCGAGTGTATTCAATACTTATTTGCTAAAGGAATGGACTTATAACCACAGTTCAGTTCCCAGGCTATGGGGCTTTCCAGGTTGCTCCCACTAGTGGATTCCACACCGCAAGGTATTCAGACACTCAGTCTATCAGTTTCTTCAAGCATCTGTCTAAATGCCATCTTTCTCTTCTTCATTAGTTTATTTGAAAGGCAGAAAAAGAGAAACAGAGAGAGTGAGTGAATGTGAGCCAGTGCTACCATCCTTTGATTCACAGCCCAAACACCCACAGCCAGTGGGAGCAGGGCTAAAACCAGGAGCCAGGAACTCAATCTTGGTCTCCCATGTGGATAGACCATCATCTGCTGCTTCCCAGAGTGTACATTAGCAGGAATCTGGAATTGGAGGTGGAGCCAGGACTCGAACCTATGCACTCTGATAATGCACTATGGGCTTCCCAAGTGGCATCTCCCACTGGGGATGGCGAGAGTGAGGAGGATGAGGAAGCAGGCATCTCCCTCACAAAATAGCTGGGAGGGAATGAACCAATTACTGTAGAACAATGGGAAACATGTATTAGAAATGTCACCTTTCATCTAATGTAAAAATAAGTTCAAGATGATCAGAAACCTAAACATAAGAATTAAAAGTCAAATTTACAGAGACACAGTGCTGTTGGATTTCTAACACAATGCACTGAGCAGCAGAGGCCACTTGTGAAAGGCTATATTCTGTACTATTCCTTTATATGAAAGTCTAGGCCAGGGAACTGATACAGTGAATAAACACCGAAAAACTGGAGAAAGACAAGAAGGATGGTGGACATGCTCTGTGTGTTAATGGGGGGGGGGGGGGATTTAGGTAGAGCCCATTCCTCTGATGTGATCCATAGTTTCACTATAAAGACAAGCTATAGTTAATTATAAATGATAAGCCAGGCTGCTCCATTTTACAATGTTTCTTTCTCTCAACTGTCTTCAGACTCCCCAGTGAGGTAAGACTTCTCCCAATCATAGATACAATTGGGTAATTTTATGTGTCAACTTGGATAGAATACGGTTCCTAGTAGTTTGGTTTGACATCATTCTGGATGTGACTGTGAAGATGTCTTAGACAAGGCTGACATTCACAATCAGCAGACAACAGGTAAAGGAGAGCACCCTGCATTACACAGGTGGGCCTCGTCCAGTCAGGTGAAGGCCTCCACAGCAGTCAGTGAGGTTGCACAAAGATGGCTCTCAGCCTCAAGGCTGCATTATGGAAATCCCGCCTGAGTTTCCAGCCTGCTCACCTGCCCTAGACAGACTTTCCAGTTCTCCTAATCCAGCATCAGTCTCTCTCTTTCCTTCTCAGTCTCTCTCCCTCTAAAGAACTCCGGCTGGTGCAGAGTTCTGAAGCAGCCAAAGTGTGGGAAACAACACAGGCGAGACGTGCCAGCACTGTGCCCAGTCCAACGCTTGTGCTCACTGAGGCAGAATTTACACACTTAATGCAGAATGCACATTGTAAGGATAAGCTCAGTGAGTCTTGACAAATACATACAGAAAGTACACATCCCCACCCCCATTAACACACAGAGCATGTCCACCATCCTTCTTGCCTTTCTCCAGTTTTTCAGTGTTTATTCACTGTATCAGTTTCCTGGTCTAGAACTTCCTATAAAGGAATAGTACGGAATACAACCTTTCACAAGTGGCCTCTGCTGCTCAGTGTGTTGTGTTAGAGATTCAACACCATCGTTCTGTTATCTGCAAATTTGACTTTTAATTCTTACGTTTAGGTTTCTGATCATCTTGAATTTATTTTTGCATTAGATGAAAGGTGAAAGTTGACATTTCTAAGAAATGTTTCCCATTGTTCTGCAATAATTGATTCAATGTTTTGTTCTTTCCCTTCTGAATTATCTTTTTTTTTTAATTTTTTTGACAGGCAGAGTGGACAGTGAGAGAGAGAGACAGAGAGAAAGGTCTTCCTTTGCCGTTGGTTCACCCTCCAGTGGCCGCCGCAGCCGGCGCGTTGCAGCCGGCGCGCTGCAGCCGGCGCGCTGCAGCCGGCACACCGCGCCAATCCGATGGCAGGAGCCAGATGCTTCTCCTGGTCTCCCATGGGGTGCAGGGCCCAAGCACTTGGGCCATCCTCCACTGCATTCCTTGGCCACAGCAGAGAGCTGGCCTGGAAGAGGGGCAACCGGGACAGAATCCGGCGCCCCGACCGGGACTAGAACCCAGTGTGCCGGCGCCACAAGGCAGAGGATTAGCCTATTGAGCTGCGGCGCCGACCCTGAATTGTCTTAATACTTTTATCAAATATCCTCTGACTATGGGATGGCATTTGGCACAGACAGCAGCTGGGATGCCTGTAACCCATATGGGAGTGCCTGGGTTTCACACTGTGCTCTGCATCTGATGGTAGCTTTGTGCTAATGCACACCTTGGAGGCAGCAAGCTGACGGCTCAATCAGTTACATCCCTGCCACCCACATGGGAGACTCAGACTGAGTTGTCTGCTTCAGGTTTTGGCCAGCGAATTTTGGGAGTGAACCAGCAGATAGGAACTGCTATATATGTGTGTGTGTGTGTGTGTGTGTATGTATTTACTTTTATATATTCATATTTATATATTATAAACATTATATATATAAAAACCACATTTGTAAGTCAACTGACAATACATGTGTTGAGTCTATTTTTAAACTTTGTTTTGGGGTGTAGCGGGTAAAGCTGCTACCTGCAGTGCCAGGTTCGAGTCCTGGCTGGTCCACTTCTAATCCAGCTCTCTGCTAATGGCCTGGGAAAGCAGCAGAAGATGGCTCAAGTACTTTGGCCCCTGCACTCATGTGGGAGACCCAGAGGAAGCTCCTGGCACTTGGCTTCAGATTGGTCCAGCTCTGGCTGTTGTGG